ACATGCTGCGAAAAAGGGGAACCCTGTGTCGGAGGTGCAGCGACCGGATTAAGGGGTGTGAATAAACACGATTCACAACAGTGTATTAAAAATGACGGTTATAGCGCCGGACCCTACATCCGCAATCTTTTCTGGTGTCTCGGCATTGGTGGTGGATGGGACATATGTGTGCGTGTCTGCCGGCCTTCTGCTTGGCTGTGCCACACGCAGACACCTCGCGTCTCATTGAGCTCTTGTGCAACGAGATCGCCTCCACTAACACAGTCACAACTGACCTTCGCAAACGCAACCTCACCACCAAGGAGAGCACTCTAAATCCACCACCTAGTCGCAGTCTCGCGGCTCCAGTAAGCTTCATTCGTGTCCGACACTCCAGCATCCCTCGGCCGGACCAGCCCGGGGGTGGCGGTCTGCGAAGGGGTTCGTTGCTAGCGGACGCAAGCTCGATCGAGGATGACGCTATTGCGGAAAAGGAGACTACAAGAAGCGAGGATGACGGTGACGTAAAGTCAGGCGACTTGCCGTCTGACGACGGCACTGCGGATTCATCTTCGGGTAAGCGACTGCGAAATGCCACGCATTGCCTACTGTCTATCTGCTCATGTTGTTAACCGAAACTGCGACACCTTTTAGACGAGAGCACGTTTTTGGATAGGCCGAGAGGGTGAGTAGCAAGAGACATGAGATTTTTGTGTTGTGAGCAATTTTGGTGAACACCGGCGTGATGATTTTTTGATTCTTTTTAGGTCTTCCTCTAAGTCGGGCGAAAGTAAGCTCCCTCAAAACGATTTTCAGCCACTTTCTCACGAGGAGACAACTGCTCTGGTAGCAAAGTTGATCAAGTCGAGTGATGCAAGTGAGTTTAAGCTTTTGAGTGCGTTAATTGGTTCGGGGGCGTGTTGGATGACGAATCGGCGTGATTCATTTCGTGAATAACTGTTTCATCATGAGTCAACCAATAAGAAACAGGTTTCGCGGAAACATAAATCACACATGAACTCTCGGGTTCTTAAAAATGTGGGAACTAGGGTAGTGTATTCGAATATTGAACCGAAACTGTCATTTTGTCTATCAAAACAAGGCGCCTTTACTTTCAGAAACAATCGAGCCCCTACGCAACGTAATTCCTCGCGACGTTGTCAATTGTGTTCGAAGAATGCTGGAAACGGAGTGTGCGTAACAGCACGGATTTCTCGACATGCAGGGAAAGAGTCAGACCTCCTGACTTTATCGTCACTTCGAATTGTAAATTCCAAGAGTTCACATACACACACACAGATGGATCAGTTCACACAAATCTGAAAATTGCATAATTTGAATAGCTGCATATACAGTTTTCGGATAAGATTCGAAATACATACGCATTTCCATTCACACGACTTGAAGGTGTATCTATGGCAGGTTTCCATTCTAGTTGAGAGAACTGGAAATTTTTGAGCTATCACAAATAAGCTAGTATGATGCAGAAGTGGGAACGGTCATAATTTCTTCGACCTAGTATGCAAAATTTTGGGCAACCGTTGTAGAATCATTGTTAACTAGGATTGAATGTCGAATAAGGGTGTCAAGGAAACGCTGGTCCCGACGTTTGACGTGTGGGACACAGTTACTTTAGCCTCGATGTCTTTTCAGAGACACGCGAGCACAAGTACCCAGGGATGTCGTCAGACTAACCCTGTCTGGCTTCACCGCTAGCTTTTGAAACAATGATTAGACAGATTTCAAAAGAACATTTTCAGACATTTTTTGAGACCTCTCGCCTCCAACCAGGCGTAGTACCTAGGTCTGGCTCATGACCTCAATCCAGTCTACAACTGCTACCTGGTTAGCGACCGCAATACGCAGCTAAGCGACCGATAATAAACCCGAGGTGTCAAGGTCAAAACAAAACAATGATGATTACGAACACTATTCATTGTCTTTATCGAGGCGCTGGCGTTTTGCCTTCGGCGCACCGTCAGCCAACTTCCGCTTCTTAGTAGGCTGCTGCTGACGCTCGAAGCCGCGTTTGACATTGCCAGTGAGGGCGGTGCGCATGGAAGCAGCTGGACGAAGTTCGTCAAGGGCATGCTCTCGTTGAACATGAACTTGGGCGACCTTGCTGCCGAAGACGTCCAAACTGCGGTTTTTCGAGGACTTGTCAGTCTTAGGACGCAACTGGGATGGCACACGGCAGGCTCGCTTCCACTTGTCCTAAACACAAATTAAAAACAAAACCTGTTAGGCATCATCGCCACCACATTCTACTTGAAGCCTCAAAAGAGGTTCAAATGTGTAAATTAGCAAAAATCAAAGATGAAGCAAAGCACGAACGCAGTAGCGGTGAGACATTAAGATATGGGCGTGGCGCAACATCATGTAAAATACAGAAACCGTTTCGGAGCGAGTTACTACACAAACAGCGCGAAAATGGAATCACTAACCTCTGAGGGGAGTTTACATCTCCGAATGACAAAATCAGCTTCTGGAGCTGCGTTGCGAAGTTCCAGCTGAACGTAGGGCCCCCAGGGAGTCTTGAGTGGCTCCGAAATCTGGGCATTTTCCCCGTCTACAGACGCCTTTTCTTGTTCTGGGCCTGACTGGAACGGGCGCAGTTCAACGGCGTGCACACGCATAATAAGCCTGCCTTCGGACGGCATTATAAAGTGTATGACATGTTCTACTCCGGCGGAATTAACCTTCGTAACTTTGGGTCCTCTAAAAAGATCTAGAGGCATTACGATAAAAACACACGTACCTATTAAAAGTGACTTCAAGTGCCGGGACTCCTCGCTCTCTTCAAAAGCCTCGCCAGAAAATATTAAGAGGGGCTTGGCACCAAGTGATAACTTAGTATCCTAAAAGTATGTATTGAAATAAAAAAAACAAGCGTACGGTTGAACGTATGGATGCATAGCGTTCAATGCCAAGTTCGATCATGTCGAGCATTTCGTGGTCGTGGAGCCTGCCAATGACGATATTGTGTGGCCTTTTCTTCGAATGCATTCCAAAGACAAAAAGGGAACAGTCTTGTTTTTCACACATGCGTTCCTAAGACTGAGTATGACGGAATGAACAGATGTACAATAAACGACGCATCCTCAAACGGAAGAACTCGATTTTTCCACTTCAATTTGTTGGCAAGAGGCTTCTTAAGCAGACCCTACACAAATATCCTCAAAAAATATAAAAACGTACAACATCTGTCATAAATGCGTTAACGATTTCACTTGTATGAGCACCTTTTATAATTAAGGTCTGCTTGTCATTTTCAAAGATCTGTGGCTCCCGTTTAGACAAAAACCGGCGTCCACGCTGGGTTTTCGGTTTGCTTAGAAAGGATATTTAAAGTAAACTTTAAAGGAAATACCTTATTTGCCTGTCAAGGGTAGCAGACGTCATGAAAATCACAGCACGAGGAAAAGAGCAACCAACTTGTGCACACGGCTACACACCTCTAAGGTCACGAGTTCAACCAATTAACTATTAGTTATCTCAAAATATGCATTCAATTTAAGAAATGTGTGCAGTCAAAAAGCATCATTAAAGCTCTTTTAATCAAAAACAAATTAGCTTATAATTGTGCTTGTAATAAATTACAGCAGGCACATATGAAAATACGAACGTAATTATGCTCTTTAGTAATTGATGAAATAGAAATTAATATATTCGGTCAAAAAACCAAAATTAATGAATGTAAATTAAATAATATTTCATGCCCAAGTTCAGTAGTTTGTAGATTTAAAGTTTCGTGAACACTGTGCGTGAAGTCCGGAGTTTCTTTATATGCTTTTCAGCTCGGTTAATCAAGGTTTGCCATTTATTGCCATATTTAAAATATTTTGTTGATAAACCTGAAATTAGTCAAGTCCTGAAATTCTTGCAGCTATAATTGTTGAGCGTTAAAACTATAACTGTCTCACAAACCAATTACTAGTTATAATTTTAATGATTGATTAGGAGAAAACAAATTTTACCATAGGGTGATTTTTTACTATTAATGAGATAGCCCTGACCCATGCATTGACTCAATGATTGAAATATTAAAGTCTTTGATTTTGTTGAATGCTTAATTATTATAGACATGATATGCTGTGTTATTCAAATCATGGCTGAAATGCTTTTGCTACGGGATGCAGAAAGGACAAATTCTATGTCTTATCCTAAAATTGTACGATTTTATTAATTTTCGGGACCCCTTTTCTATTGATCAGTTTTGCGTCGTTATCGGTTGGTGTGCACTAATGTCAATGAACTTGTAAAACTTTTACAGTACTATTTTAAGGAATAAATCTAATGCACGCTCAATTAAACTTGAAATTAACCCGATACACAAGTCACGTTTTTAAACTTATGCGAAATAAATGTGCACTTGTTACATAAGAATAATATATTGTAACTAACTTTAAAGTGGTATTTCTTCAACAGCTTCCTCCCTACTGACTTCCATGCGATGGAATTCAGTTAAAATTATCTTTATTTACAAAAACTACCCTTTTGGTTGGATGTATTATGAAAAATTTCGACTTCTTCCTGAAATTGTAGAAATGTTGAAAAGTTTGCCTACAATTTTAGGAAAAATATCTTATCTGGTCACTGCGTTGATTTTGCCTGGGGTGATAAAACGAAGACTCGATGCGGCATCTTCCTTTATACTTACCGAGCAGCTGCATTATTAAATGCGAGTTTCTGCGTGACTCTCTCAAATCAAATCAAAACATCCATAAAAAAATTTTGTCTTTCATTGTGACAACATTAGATCCTATTTCGATCAGCAGAAACTATAACATTTTTGGGTGGTGAAGAGGGAAATTCCCCACAACCTGCCTTGTCCCCGTGACATATTAATATCGGATTTACACTCATTTTGTTCTCCTCCAACTAGCACGGATGGCCAACATTTAGTTTAATGAAAGAAATTATGCAACATCTTTGATGGTCGAATTCATAATCATGTAAACTCTTGTGGGAGATTAATAAGAAACATTGAAGTGTGTTTAAATTAATTTAAGTGACGTAATTTATAAGAGTCTGAATTGAATGTGGTTTAATTTTAAAATTAGGCTAATAATTTTTAAGCTATTTAATACATCATAAAACACAGAACTCTAGGGTATAACTCGCTTTTATAATTATCATACTCAAATAATTTCAGTACAACAGGTAAGGTAATTTCAAACATTGACGGATCGCAAATGGAGAGACCGCAATATTTAACTTAGAGCCAACATTGAAACCATTTTGCAGAAAGAGGAAAATTAGGCGACGGTACATGATTGGTTGTTTACGATACGGGGTAAGCGCTACCTGTCTTCTTAGCGCATTTCCAGAAAGTTTGCCTTGAAATGTTCCTTCCTGAGATGGCTATGGTTTTTCTTTACTGCTCAGTGCGGAAACCTGACATTAATTATGTATGAAGCGTAAACACGACAATGGTTTCTTAAAAGTCCAAATTCCTATCGACTCAAGCTACATTTGATTGGTTCACGTTGAGTGAACGCATAAATTACTTGAATTGGCCTTAAGTATATTTGTTGAGAATAAATTGACGTCTTCCTTCGAATCTCATTCTAGGAGGCGTGTTACCGGTGTCGTCTTGGCAACCATCAATCAAGTACAGGGGCGCCATTACGAGCAAAAACGAGATGTCTAACTTGATTGTGAATTTAAACTACAACTGAAAATCTGTCGATGCAGAAGTGTCATAAATTTAAAAGTGAGCACAGTAGAAGATTGTCTTTGTTGACATCCAAGAAGACCATAATGTAAAGAAAAACACGATGAGCTGAATACTTCTGTCAATTTGCCCGTTAGACGTGAAGTCTTGCGGTGTGCTTTTTGGTTATTGTGTACTGCGATCCTCCATTCATATTGATCGGTAATTTTTAGTGGTCAGTAACTAGCCTATCGGATTGAAGTCAGGGCTACAACCGGAAGGTTGTAGGAGATCACTTAAGGTTTGAAATAGACTGACTGATGACGAAAATAACCATCCATTGTTCATAAAACGAATCCCATAATACCGACACAACACAAGCAGATGGTTTAGCACCATGGGAGTAGTAATACTGTATTTAACCTCTTCCCAGATCTACGCGCTAATCGTGGGAATTGTTTGCATGAAATGGTATCTATCTCGCAACCGCAGTCATTAATTCCTACATTAACTCACTAGTGGCGACCTTGGGCCAAAAAAACGATTCAGAGCAGCGAATGTGCTTATAGCAGACGATGCCAGGGCGCATTATTTCTGCATTAGATTTGAGGAGAGTCAAGTTTTCTTTTGAGTTGGGAAATTACGCCCCGAAGACCACGGCAACGCCTATTTCCTCTCGCATAAGGGCCTGCCATTTAATGCTGCTCGCGCTGCTTCGCCTCTCTGCACACGGATAGAATTTCAGCCACGGCATACGAGGTTTTGAAAGCTCTGAAGTGAATGTGATTTAATGCCACGATTGTGTTCACGGAGAATGGCATTAATTTTCGCCGAATGAAAGACATCGAGAAACGGAGTCTGTAATCTCGAACTTGTTGAATCCAGACAAGGTAACGAAGACTAAGGTCGAAGTAGACATAGAGAGTCTGTGGGGGCAGTTTTAAGCGTTTAAAATTGCGGAGCATATTTTCGCTTTACACGCGGGTACATGTAGTCGTCTGTGGGTTTTGATTCCTTGAAATGCGTCATCCCTCTGAATCGAAATGTAAATAATTACCGAATCAAGTTTCACACCGTTAGCGACAAAATATGCTCTGGTAAAGGTGTAGAATTACCCACACCAAACTTCCACAGATATGCTGTTTTTGGGCGTTAGATTAAGGCAAGTAGCGAACACATCTGATACCGCAACAGCATAGACGAGCGTGAATGGTGGAAATAGGTAATCTTCTTGAAATTGCTTTAAAAGGAACAAGCGTGGGAATGCATGTTAGTAAGGGAATTTTCACACGAGTTCCTGCTACATTTTTCAGCAAAATTTGCCACCGAAAGCATAAATAGGCTTGGTAAAAACACAACGGTTTATTTAAGAAACCATGGTTTACAAAAATGCCCACCAGTGAATATCTTCGAGCGATCAGCCGATGGTCAATGCTCTTGTATATGCACTCAAATTAGAGGTGGTGGAGAAAATTTACGGCGCCTAAGGTTGTGAGCCTTGCTAGCTAAGTCCGAGTTCAGTTGGATTCCTCTCATCTGATCCACGCTACATGAAGAGAGATAAGGTAAGTGTCGGCGTCTAGGGCTGCAGTTCCACTCACGCCTTGTCCACCCAACCCGCGTCGAGTGTACAGCCGAACTGCCGCTGTCCAAGTCGGTCCACTGAACCCCGGAACCCGCATCACACCTACTTCGTGTTGACTCGGTTGTAATTCCTGCCTACTGATAACTTGCTTTCAAGAGTGAACCAAGTCTGGAGCGCTCTTCTCAACTCCTCGACGATTTTCTCCAACATCTTGGTTGGAGAAAACCAGCCACAATAAACCAAACCGAAGGCGATTTTATTGGTCGTCGCGATACAGCCAGAGGTTTGGCGGTGTGATGCGCACATACGCTGGAACTCCAAGATTCTTCTCTTGAGTTGACTGCGGTGGTGCCGAATTTGCAGCCACAAAATCTGCTTGACAACGAGAAATA